TGAAAAGAAGTTAACAATCTACATCCTTTGGAATTTCAAAATACTTATATTAGATATTGCATGTACCTATTAGAATTAATAAAATGCAAAACACTGATAAAATTAAATGTTAGCAAGGATGTGGAGCAACAGGTATTCTCCTACACTGCTGGTGGGAATTCAAAATGGTACAGCCACTTTGAGAAAGAGTCTGACACTCTCTTTTATAAAGCTAATCATAAGCGTATCATACAATCCAGCAATCATTCTCCTAGGTATTGACCCAGCTGGTTTGAAAACGATGTCTGCTCATAGATCTACACATGAAAATCCACGGTAGCTTTATCTATAGTGCCAAAAACTGAAAGCAACCAAGACATCCTTCACTAGGTAAATAAAGTGTGATACATCCACGATTTCAATATTGTTAAGTGACAAAAAGAAACTGAGTTACTGAACCATAAGAAGACATGGAGGCCGGTGCCGTGGCTCAATAGGCTAATCCTCCACCTAGCGGCGCCGGCACACCGGGTTCTAGTCCCGGTCAGGGCGCCGGATTCTGTCCCAGTTGCCCCTCTTCCAGGCCAGCTCTCTGCTGTGGCCAGGGAGTGCAGTGGAGGATGGCCCAAGTGCTTGGGCCCTGCACCCCATGGGAGACCAGGAGAGGCACCTGGCTCCTGCCTTTGGATCAGCGTGGTGCGCCAGCCTTGGCGGCCATTGGAGGGTGAACCAATGGCAAAAGGAAGACCTTTCCCTCTGTCTCTCTCTCACTATCCACTCTGCCTGTCAAAAAAAAAAAAAAAAAAAGACATGGATGAACTTTAAATGTGTATAACTAAGTGAAAGAAACCAGTCTGCCAGGACTCTATGATTCCAATTATATGGCATCTGGAAAAGGCAATAGCACTAAAAAAAAAAAAAAAAAAAGAGTCAATGGTTGTCAGAGGACAAGTGGGAGGTGAGAGACGGGGACGATAGGGGAAGTATAGGAGATTTTTAATGCATTGAAATTATTCTGTATGGTAATTATGCTACTTATACTAATAAGTGTAACAAAGTATGCAACTATCAAAACTCACAGAACTTCAGCAGATAAAGAGTGAACTTTAATGTATGCATATGTAAAAAAATAATTTAGACGACCATGGGATCCCAAGATGGAATGCAGATTGCAACAACAGTATCTAACTGTATTATACACAGGAAGAGTGCAACATTCTCACCAGAGTGGACAGGAGGAAAAGGTGCTTGGCTAACTAACTTTGGAAATGAGTGGAGGCTTTGTAAAAGCAAAAGGAAGTGCACATAAGCACTGTCCTCTGGTTGATAAGAGTCCCTTCCCATGGAAGCACAGGTTAACAGCTCTCACACAGCTATACATGTATAATGCAAATGAACAATTAAGCAAATGGATGGCAGATGGTGGGAGCCAGATTTCTTCTCACTGCTGGAGTGAGTTTACAGATAAACAAGCGAAGACTACAATGATACAAATGTCAATGGATAAGGGTGAGAGACACTTGTGTGAATTCACATTGAGCTTAACACAGACACACAGTCACATGGAAATGTACATACATGTATGAGTAGCTTCACAGAAATATGTATAGATGCATGGGTCTGTATTCCTTGCTTTGTCAGATGAGGGAGTTTAAAGGCAATGACTACAGTAGCAAAAAGTACTTCTACCACTGAAATTTCAGCTTCGAGAACCATTTCCAAATAAAAGTCATCAAACTGGAGAAATGGCTGGTTTTAGACTGGCACAAGATATATACAAGATGAGCCTGGAGTATCTTAGAGTGCCAGAAAAGTAAAGAAATGCTTCAAAAGCAACAAAATTGACACCCACACTCACATTGACACTGGTGTGTCAAAGGGACATGGGGGCCAAGCAGCAGCAATTTGAACAACAAAACAAGACAGCACTTATTTCTACCCAAAGTAGGAAAACATCTCCATGAGTCTGAAGCAATATAAGCCAATGATTGAGTAAACAAATACAAAAGGGAAAAGAGGAAAATCTCCCAGCAGAAGCCTTCCAAGTACTTAATATATAACTCCACCCCCTCCCAGGGTGGGGGAAGCACAGTGACTTCCTTCTGAGAGCACAGCATGGAAAGGGGGAAAAAGAGAGAAAGTGTCCAGTGGGAACTCAAATATTACCTCTGCCAGATGACCAACGTAATCATCCGTGTTGACAAGGCAGTCATGCACCCTTTGATATGATGGGACACCAATGGCACTCTATCTATGATCTTCCTCTCACAAACCCACAATCACAGCCTCATCCTGAGAAAAATAACAGATAAATTCCAGTGGAGGGGCACTGTGCAAAATAGCCAATCTGTGCGCCTCAAAACCATCAATGCCATCGAAAACAAGAAAAGTCTGATGAGCATCACAGCTAGGAGGTCCCTGAGAGAGACATGATGATTCAATGTAACATGGTTTCCATTTGGTAGGTCCCACAACAGAAAAAAAGGATTGTGGGAGAAAATGATGGAAACATAAATAAAGTGTGAACTGTAGTGAATAATAATGTGCTGATACTAATTCATTACAAATACAAATTTGTAATTCATTACAAATATATGTACAAATTCTAAGGTAAAGTGTTAAGGGATGCGGGGGACTACTTTGGGAGCAGAAGTCACTGTGCTATTTCTTCAGTTTTTCTATAAATCTAAAACTGTTCTTTAAAAATACAGTCTACTTTTTAAAATCCCACTTAGGGAAGAATCCGGAAAACACTGAAAAAGGCTGTAGTGAAGCACTGAGAGCCTCCCATTTTCTTGTATACATTCAACTTAAAAATGCTTGCAACTATTCCATTACAGAATTTTTCTTAATATTTCCAATCACTAACAGCTGCAACCAATTTCACGCAACTCCCAACAGGGATATATTATAGCCAGAGTATTTTAACTAAATTTCCACATTTTCCCCTTACATACTTATGTAGATGTTTGAAAGTCTGCAACTTACCATCAACTTATATTGTAGTGTGTTGATCTGAATAATTAGAAAAGATGTATAATACAATCAGAAAAGCAATCTAAGTTTTATATTATTCAACTTTGTGCTAACATACTCATCCAATAAAGCGTCAAGAAAGCAGAAAGAATTTAGTATCCTGGATACTCTGTTTCTTTATACAAACTTGGTTTCAGTTAACTGCATAATTAAAACAGACAAATGAAGAAAAGAGAAAAATCAGAAGAAGAGTAAAATGCAGCAGGAGAAGGATGTGTAGGATAATATAAGGAAAGGACAGACTTGCAGGGTACCCAATGAAAACAGACAGGAGCAAGCTTGGAAAAGACTGGTATATGGTAAATATGGTATATGGTTCAAAACTTGCAGCAGGCATCTACCAGAAATAATGTGTGTGTGTGTGTGTAATGTTCACCTTTGACCAAGAAACTAAGTGTTGAAAATTAAGACATTAGGCTCCTGACAAAGAACAAAGGAAATATCACCCTAACCACGATTTCATTGAAAATATTCCCCATGATTAATAAAAGGCTGAAAATTAATATATAATGATGGTTAGTGACATTGGGAAGCGAAAAAAAGTTACAAAGTCACATATTGTGCCCAATGGTTATCTCAACACTGAAATAAAAGCAACTTTTCTTTCCCCTGCTGCAGAGCGAGTGACTTGTGGAATTTTTGAAGTCTTAATCTGTGTGTTCTACACTTAAGGGATTCTACAGGCATCTACCACATTTGTGAAACAGTCTGCACGCCCCTTGAAGTGGCAAATCTACAAAGTGTTTTCATTCTCAGATTCTGTGGGCTCATGACCAAAACTCTTCGACATCACAATTCCCAAGCTGCAACACTGTGTCCAGAAAGATGACACAACAGACTACCACATGAGCCGCTTTATGGGCGCACGCTTTCCAAGACTCAAGGAGCTGTACAAGAATGGCTTCCTTTCAACGGAAATAAATGAAAGCAGTATGCAACAGTTACTTTCGAGGCTGCTATATATATAAAGCCCCTCTGGAATCCTATCTCGCTCTTCACACAGCTGAAATCAAGTTTCATCTGAACTCATCCTAAAACATCAGTCTTACTCTTATCATCCGAGGCCAGAACAGAAACCTCAGAGGAAAAAAAACCCTTAACTACTCCGCTGAAACGCATTTTGTCAAGGATTCCTACTCTTAGTGCTCCGCCGCCCTGGACATCTGCGGACTTCAAACGCTAAAACCCCGCGTCCGGCTCCGACGAGACCCCACGCACCGCAAGGAGGGGACTTCAGGCACAGCGCGCGCTGCCGGCGCACAGCTGCCGTGTGCGGGGGTCCGAGCCAGGAAAACGGCGTCGGGCAGCCCGCGGGGCCGCCCCGGGGCGCGGGGACCCCCCTCCCAAGGCGTGCGCGGACGGCGCCGGGAGAAAGGCCGCGTCCCCAAAAGTAAAACGCTAGGTGGAGCGGAGCCAAGAAAGTCAACAACAGTCAGGGGCCGGCCGTTCATAAACAAGGGGCTACCTGAATTTGAGGCGGCAGACGATGGGGGGACCGTGCCCTAAAGGGTCACTTTGAAAGACCCTCCCGATCGCCACAACCGCCCGTGTGAGGGGCACGGGGAGTCTAGGATAATAAGCTGGGATCCGAAGAACACTCGGTTGGGAGTCGCCCCGGGCACCAGCCGGGCACAGGTGGATCTGCGAACCCAGGTTCCCAGAGGGCAGTGAGGGACGCCGTGGGTCCTCTCCGCCCACCTACCCCGCGTGAGCACCGAGCGCGAGGGGCCGGCCAGGTGGGCGCGGGTCGGGTCGGGTCGGCTCCGGCTCCGGCTCGGACGCCGACTCGGGCGCCGGCTCCCGCTCCCGCTCCCGCTCCCGCTCCGCGCGGCGCCCTCGCACACCTGGCTGCCAACACCAGTTGAAAGCACTCAAAAGTGAATGGAGGCGGACGCGGCGCCTGGCACCGCTCCGATCCCAGCACACAAAGGCGGATTTTTAAAACCCAGGGAGAGTCCAGGCGGCCGGACCCGTGGAGCTCTTACCTCGAAGCCGCGAGTGTTCCCGGAGGCGCCGTCAGCCCAGGCGAGGTGGGAGTCGGCCGGCAAGAAAAACCCCACCCCGCCCGCCCGCCTGCCTGCCGCCTGGCGCACTGCACAGCCGCCTTCCGCGCCCAGCCGGAGAGAAGCGATCTCCGCGGCGAGCACAGCGCCGGCCTCGTCGCTGCCGCTGGAGTCTGGAGCTGCAGCTCGCTCGCGGCCGCCGCCAGCCGCGCGCCGCGCATGCCCAGTGCCCGCGCCGGGGAAGGCGCGAGCGAGCGCGCGCCGGGCCGCCGGGAGCGGGCTGCGCGCTCCGGGTCTCGGCCGCTGCAGAGCCGCCGAGTCTCCGTGCGCCCTGGCGCTACGGACTGGGCACCGGCGGCGGGCCGCGCGCCAAATTCTGAAGGCCGCGATCGGAGGCAGGCCGAGGCTGCGAACCGCCGACTGAGCTCCACAAGTACCCAGGCAGTGTGGCCGAGAGGCGTAGGGAAACAGAGTAGAGCCCGACGGGGAGGGGCGTCCCTGGGTGAGGGGTGACCCCCGCCAGAGCAAGGGGCGATGCCCTGGGTGGAGGGGGCGCTCCGGTCCTCGCCGGGAACCCGCGCTGCTGGGTTGGGCTCCGACCTGTGTGCCCCCTTCGGGCGCTTTCCTCGTTTGTGTCTCCTCAACCTCTGCGGTAAATGGTGGTAGCCACGGAGTCCCCGGGGAGGGGGTGGTCTCCACGGTGCAAGTCCTCGGCCGAGCCAGCAAGCCCGGATCCGCCTCGCACGGCTGCCGCCTGGGATCCCATGTTTCACCGGCTCTTGCCAAGGAGAGTTTGATGTAGTTTGTGAAGCGGCGGAGGCCTCCTTGACTTTGTGCCTCTCGGCCCTGAACCGACCCGCAGGCACCTTCGCCTCGTCCCGGAGCTGCCAAGGAGCCTACGGAAGCCGCTCTTCTCCAGGACGCATTTCAGACAGCTTGGTCGTTGTCGGGGTCGCCTCCCACCCCCATCCTAACTTTAAAGTCAGTTGACACTTCAGAAGTCAGTGAAAGACTAAATTAAACTTCTTAAAGTGGGTGACCAACTTGCTATGTGAGGAAAAGAAACAAAAACAAAACGCAGGGAGGAGCGACGTAGCAGACCCAGGTGGAAATCAAAGCCATTGGGCTAAAACTTGAAATGAGCATCTGATTAAGCCCAGTCCCCTACCTTATGTAGGAATCCTCGCCCCTGACCTTCCCGATGTTTCCACCAGACCTCCATCCACTTGAACATGTCCAACGTCGGAAATCTCTTTATCAATATTATGAGTAACCGTGATTATTTGTTGACTACCCATGCCAGGAGCTAAGCAATTTAAACCCATTATTTCTAATCCTTAAAATAGATAGGCCTCATTATACCTATTTAGCATTACTAGGAAAATGAAGCTCAGGATTTTCCATCCTTCTACCAAAGCCAATGCTGACATCAGACTTAAAATCCAGGTCTGCTTAACACCACAACCTGTAAGATTTGATTTATGAATGTAAGTATGAATAACTTACACAACTAGTGCTGTTGCTGCCCTTAGGAACCGCACGGAATTAATCGCATTTCTTGTAGACATTGCAAGTCATGACACAGTTGAAACAAACTGTCAATTGATGACTAGATTTCTAATTATTTCTCTTTAATTTTTTTCCCTTTCACTGTTCCTCAAATAACACAGTAAGCCCTCCTAACCAGACTCCTTACCCTGCTTAAAATGTGCTTTTATTCTTCATTCTCTTTGTTAAATGGTACATTCAGAATACAATATTTCCATACAGTAGGGGAGACCTGAGTCATAAACTGACCAGCAGCCCCTTCAATACAAGAATACTCTTTCTGTTTATGCATGGAGAGAAAAAAAAGGGGGGGGGACACCCAAAAATAGGAAATAGTATGGAGGCCAAAGGAGGAAGAAGACCAAGGCTGGCAGGTTGTGGGTTAGGAGAGTGGTCTAATCCTAGACCTGTATTGTGCTTTTCTTTTAGCAAACATAGTACCTAAAATCAAATAGAACACCCCATGTCTTTCACACATAGTCTACACTTCTATAATTCTGTAACTTTGGACCTTTTTTTAAATTTTATCCTTATTAAGTTTATTTTTATTTATTTGAGGATATAATTTTAAATAAACATTAATGGGAGCTGGAGTTGTGACACAGCAGCTTAAGCCACTGCCTGCAACACCAGCAACCCATGAGTGGCAGCCAGTTCCAATCCCAGCTGCTCCACTTCCAATCCAACACCCTCCAATCCAGCAGAAGATGGCCCAAGTACTTAGATCCTTGATGCCTACATGGAAGACCCCAGATGAAGCTCTGGCTGCTAGTCTTTGCCTGACCTAGGCCTGGCTGTTGTGGCCATTTGAGGAGTGAACCAGTGGGATGGAAGTTCTCTCAATCTCTCCTGTCAAATTTTATCTTTTAAATGTAGGGCTAGTTAAATAAGATCTGTTTTTTTAAATTAACCCATTCTTGTATAAGTGCTCCCCACCACTAAAAAAAATGTGTATTTTTAGGAATTTGAAAGGCGGAGACAGAGACAGCTGCCATCTGCTGAATCACTCTCTAAGTATCTGCAACAGCCAGGGTTGGGCCAGGCAGAAGCCAGGAGCCAGGAACTTCATCAAGGTCACTCATTTGCTGGGGCCGGTGCCATGGCTCACTTGGTTAATCCTCCACCTGTGGTGCCGGCATCCTATATGGGCACCGGGTTCTAGTCCCAGTTGCTCCTCTTCCAGTCCAGTTCTCTGCTGTGGCCCGGGAGGGCAGTGGAGGATGGCCCAAGTGCCTGGGCGCCTGCATCCGCATGGGAGACCAGGAGGAAGCTCCTGGCTCCTGGCTTCAGATCGGCACAGCGCTGGCCGTAGCGGCCATTTGGGGGTGAACCAACAGAAGGAAGACCTTTCTCTCTGTCTCTCTCCCTGTCTAACTCTGTCAAATAAAAATTAAAAAAAAAAAAAAAAAGGTCACTCATGTGATAGCAGAGACTCACGTACTTAAGCCATCACCTGCTGCCTCCCAGGGTGCACATTAGCAGGCAGTTAGAACTGGAAGCTTCAAGACTTGAATTTAGCACTGTAACATGGGATGCATGGGTCCCAAGAGATATCTCAACTGCTGTGCCAAGTTCTTGCCCCGCTACCACCTCTTTTAAACTTAAAGCTATTTTTAATAATCTGGTTTACATTTTTGGTAAGAATCAATGCCATGCAGCTGTTTCTAGTACCACCATATACAAAGTATCCCTTTTTGAAAATCTGACTTGTTGGGGCCGGCGCTGTGACGTAGAGGGTAAAGCCAATGCCTGTTAGTGCTGGCATCCCATATGGGAGGCGGTTCCAGTCCCAGCTGCTCCACCTCCTATCCAGCTCTCTGCTGTGGCCTAGGAAGCAGTAGAAGGTGGCCCAAGTCCTTGGGCCCCTGTATCCACATGGGAGATGTGGAAGAAACTCCTGGCTCCTGGCTTCGGATCGGCGCAGCTCTGGCCATTGCGGTCAATTGGGGAGTGAACCATCAGATAGAAGACCTCTCTCTCTCTCTGCCTCTTCTTTTCTCTCTCACTCTTTCATGTAAAATAAATAAATCTTCAAAAAAATCTCATTTGTTAATGTTGTTCTGTGGGGTGAAAATGATAAAGGACAAATTGAAGATGGACCTATGGAGGGAATGGGACGTTCAAACTGGTGAGTGAAGTAGCAGAACTTGAAGAATGGATAGAATCTATTGCTGGATATGAAAACTAGATACAGGAATTGTGGACAGAGCATTATGACTGAGTTTTATCTAGGAGCAATAGCTAAAGATATCTGAACTACCCAAACATTGAGTATAATTTCCAAACAGCCCTCTCCATGCCCACTCCCGAAACTGACATATGAATATCATTTAGGATCTGCTGTGCATACCTCTGTAGACTCCCAGTCTTAAGGTCATTTAATGCAAAACATATCTCCAGATAAAAAGATACTGTAGTTTAGTATATGATTGTTTTATGATCCAATATAAATCTTCTAAGTATCACTTGGTAGACAAGTAATTTCACTTTGGCCACCACCACTATTATTATTTTACATTGTTGAAGAAATGAGCCAAAATGCTTGGATTATTATATTTGCTTTTACTTTAGAGATATTGGGCTTGCTTCTCATTTTGTAATTGATGTTTATATTTGGGTAAAGAAATTCAGTTTTGCTTTGCTTTTGAATGCACACATGTTTCAGTTTATTATATATCATATACCTAGATGTGTGAAAAGTTCAAAGCATGATAGGATGTGAAAAATCGTTAACAAAGAGTTTTTCTAGTGTAACTCCTATTTTACCTACAAGCAATATTATTAGTCAAAAATAAATAAGTGAATATATAACATGAATGTATAGCACTTCTTACACATGGATTAAATCTTTAGCTTTTATAACTTTTTTGAAAATCAAGAATTCATTTTCCACAGGAAAGTATTACTTGAGCATGAAGCATCTAAAAAAATAAGTTGAATCTATTAAAAGAATATAATGCAGGGGCCAGCACTGTGGCATAGAGGATAAAGCCACAGCCTGCAGTGCCAGCATCCCATATGGGCACCAGTTAAAGTCCCGGCTACTTCACTTCCGAATCAGCTCTCTGCTATACCCTGGGAAAGCAGTAGAAGATGGCACAAGTCCTTGGGCCCCTACACCTGCCTGAGAGACCCAGAAGAAGCTCCTGGTTCCTGGCTTCAGATCAGCTCAGCTGTAGCCATTGTGGCCATTTGGGAAGTGAACCAGCAGATGGAAGATCTCTCTCTCTCTTTCTCTCTCTGTCTCTCTATCTCTCTCTTTGTGTGTGTGTGTGTGTGTCTACTTCTCTCTGTAACTCTATAAATCTTTAAAAAGAAATCACTGAAACAGGTGAAGTGTACATTAATATTTTAAATGAGCCTTAAATCAGCTTTAAGGTGATGAAATTAAATTTTTATTTTATCTTTATTTGAGAAGCAGAGAAACAGAGAAAGAGAGAGAAGAGAGTTCCCATCTACTGGTTCACTCTCCAAATGCCGAAAACAGCCAAGGCTGGGACAGTACCAGAGCCAGGAGCCAGGAACCAGGAATTCAACCCTGGTCTCTCATATGAGCAGCAGGTACGCAATTACTTGATCCAGTATTTCTCCTTCCCAGAGTATGCATAAGCAGGAAGCTGGAATCAGGAGCTGAAGCCAGATGTGGAATCCAGATATTCTGATGTGGGGCTTGGGTGTGCCAACCACTAGAACAAATGCCCACCCCATGAAACTAACCTTGAAAATTCCACATTAGCTGATTGTCCTAGAGAAATCAGAGTGGTCTCAGGTCCCTGGGAACCCAAGCTTTCAAGATAGATATATACAAATCCTCTTCAGAGAAAAATAACTTCAAGTTGGTTTCTCAGAATTTCCCACAAATTAACATAAACCAAGTAAAATTCATCATCAAAGATCCCAAGACATATAAGAAAATTAATCACCATGACTGTCAGCAGAATAAACAAACATAATTAGATTTATGAGGCCAAAAACTAATTAACTATGATCTAGCTATTTAAAGAAATAAAAAATAAAATCACAAAAAAAAGATGGCTAGGCATATATGAAAACAACTTATCAGAAATTTGGGGAAGTAAAAATAAAGTTGTTGATATTTGAAACTCTGTGGATGAGACAAAAATCCACTCAAAATGGATCAAGGACATAAATCTACAACCCAATACCATCAAATTATTAGAAAACATGGGGAAGACTTTATAAGAAACTGGCATAGGCAAAGACTTCTTGGAAAAGACCCCAGAGGCACAAGCAATCAAAGCCAAAACTGACAAATGGGATTACATCAAGCTGAGAAGCTTCTGTACTGCAAAAGAAACACCCAGCAAAATGAAGAGGCAACCTACAGAATGGGAAAAAATATTTGAAAACTATGCAACTGATAAAGGTAAAACATACAGAATTAACAACAACAAAACAAATAATCCAGTTAAAAAATGGGCAAAGAGGGAATGGTACTATGGTGCAGCAGGTTAACACCCTGGCCTGAAGTGCCGGCATCCCACATGGGCGCCAGTTGGAGACCCGGCTGCTCCACTTCCAATCCAGCACTTTGCTATGTCCTGGGAAAGCAGTAAGAAGATGGCCCAAGTCCTTGGGCCCCTGCACCCGCATGGGAGACCCGGAAGAAGCTCCTGGCTCCTGGCTTCAGATTGGTGCAGTTCTGGCCATTGCAGATGGAAGACTTCTCTCTCTCTCTCTCTCTCTCTCTCTGTTTCTCCTCTCTCTGTGTAACTCTGCCTTTCAAATA